CGATCAAAAGAAAAAAGCAGAGAAAGTGTCTGTTTTTCTATACACTTCCACAAGAGGTAACTCCACTTTTATATGAAACAGTCAACATTTCTGGGCCTGTTGAGGATGCACAATTAATTTAAATGAACAGCAAAATACATAGGAAGACAGCCTCACTAAAGACATCTTCTGCATTTATATTTAGGTGTACTGGTTAAGCCAACTTCAGCAGCCCCTCTCCTGTCTGCTGTGTTGGCATAGCTAACGTGGCACATTGCACAAGCTGCACATAGAAAACAGGTAGCAGAACAAACCTGTACACCGAAACTTGACAGATGATTAAAAATTTCTCCATAAAGCTGGAAGAATTTAGAACTAGATTTCAATTACCTTCAGGGGATGCAGCTCAAGTGTATACAGTTTGGCTACGACCTCCCTCCAACTAGTAAGAAATTACAGCTTTTAAAATTTTAGTGATACTGATGCCATAAGAAAAGTCATGATACCATCAGTACAGCAATGTTTCATGGCATCAACAGACCGATGCTACAAAGCAGGCACCTCTGCTCAGTTCTAACTGCCTCTGGCCAGGTGGAAGGAAGGAGCAGACTGTGGTATGGCACAACATGCTGGTGATACCCCGCAGCTTTACGGAGAAGCAAGCAGAGGTTCAGGGAAGCTGGATCACAAGGACAGTGTAACACAGAGCACAAGACTACTTTCATGGGTGCTGCACTGCTATTATCACTGCCTCCGTATTATTTAGTATCATGTGTGTGTATTGCTGTATCACCTCTCACCATCTCCAAATGCAATACAGAAGAATTGTGGCCAGGCCCTTTCTTGCATCAATACATCCCAGAGCTCCAGGTGCTTTGAAGAAATAAGAGAAACCAGTTTTATATGAACTCATCTACTCTGGGGGAACATTTACACAAGGAGGTGCAGCCACACAGAGGGCTAGAGAAAACAAGTTTGCCTCCCAAACTATGTTGACACAAACAGCTATTTAGACAGCTAGCTGCCCATTTTTGGTATCATTACCATACAGACACACACAACCACAGTAAAAGAAAATCATAAGTGATCACTATTTGTGTTGTACATAAGTTATTCTAAAACCTAGACTTTAATACACATTCAGATAACAGATGGTTTTGGACTAGAGAACTGACATTTAGTTTATCCTGATTTGGTGCAGAGCAATTTTAACTTCCAAAGGGAGCACCTCAGTATTGTATATCGTTGAAGTCCTGTTCTGATTTGGCATGTCACGGACGTCTAATGTGCTCTTCACATATGAAGTGTTCTAAGCCACTACACCACTTGCCACCACTTCCATTGAAAATCACGTATCCTTGCAATTTAGGAATGTCATCGTTCATAGCGTAAAAGTACAGAGGTGAGGTATAGGCTGAGAAAGGTTTTCAGACAAAATTCAGAGCTTCAGTTTTTCTTACATTTGTGTTAAGCAAAATAGAGCTTTAGAACTATAACAGAAAGGGGTGGGTATTTTTGTCCACGATTTAAAGAAATTCATGGTACATACATGTTTTCTATTCTTTATATACTTATTGAAATAATACCAGAATCAAGACAAGAAGAAGTGAATGTTCACAGTATCTGTACTTTTTATCTGCGTTATTGATGGATTAATTTAAAATTAATTCATGACTGCCATATCCCATTCAACCTACAACAGAAGAACAAAGCTGCTTTTAAATAAAGCTGCACAAATAATACCAAAAGAAGTTACGGTCATGCTTACATGCTGCAGGTAAGCACAGCAAAATCCCAGTAAGAGCTAGGCTTAAAGGAGTATTGTATTTTAATTCATCAGAACATTCACAGATCACATACAGGGAAAGTAAATATCAGGAGAGAAATAAGAAATCCGATGAGCTACAGAGTACAATTCCAATATATGGTCTAGCATTATCAGCCCCTAGTGAGGAATAGTATATAGCTGATTACCATTTTCATATTCTCTACATACATCCCATGCCTATCCAGCGTATATATACAGAAAGGAGCAAGCTTTAATTGTTTTTCTTATCCCAAAACTTTGGAAAGAACTATCATGTCTGGTTTAAAAAACTGCACACTCTTAATACTGCTAAGGTAAATGGATTTGTTCAGTTCTTAATACTGTACACCATTACAAATTCAAAAGATTTTTGGTGCTTAGGGTCTTGTCACTGTTCTTGTGCGTGCCAAAGCTACTTTGGCTGAAAGCTGGAGCTGGGAGCATTTCCTCCTAGACAACCTGCCTTGCAGGCTCTCACATCAGCACTTGCAGTTTAACAGAGAAATACCCTGAATATCATGAGGATCATTTCTGTTAATGCTTTGCACTGTAAAATGCACATTTTTCTATGCACCCGAAAGTTTGTTAGTTGTCTGAAATTGCTGTGAACCTGACACCAACATTATGGCGAAAAAAAACCCCAAACCAAACAACAGTTGATTTTATTAAAATGCAAAGCTTTCAACAAATACTTTACGTAGAGGCAGATACCTCAAAATATATATCAGAATCTTAATTAAGCACAAAGGAGTTTTCTGTGTCATCTAGCTAATACTTACCTTCACAACCTGGGACCCATTCCTCAGAACCCGATTTCTCTCCCACATGTTGCCTCCCCTTAGCAGGATACTGTACAAGAACCAGCTTGCCTGCATGTACCTACTCCCTGTCTGTGGATTCTGTTCAAAGCTCAATCAGTTCTGCACAAATGTCTTCTAATTCCTAGATCAGATATTTAATCACAGTATCTATTTTGAACACTTTTTCAAAAGTACAGACTGGTTTTTCCTTGACATGTAAAAGATACTTCAAAAATGCTGAAGTACATTGGGCAAAGGCAAAGAAAATATCATCTGGCTAGACAACAAAAATATCATTAAGAACGAAAGCAAAGGTTGATGACCAGAATGGTACTTAATTTGACTATAAATGAATAGCTTGTCCATTATGAATAAATTACCCTGCATGGAGGACACAAAACAGTTCAAATCTCAAGTTGTAACTCCTTGTTACAGGGAAAGGCTGCAAGTGCTTATACTGGAAACAACTATTCAGTAAGCGTTCATTCTTTATCTTGTAGTTACACTTTAATTCTATCACAGGTTTTTAAACTTCTTTTAAAAACCAGAATGTTTACATTTTGCATTGCTGTGATATCCAACCCTCACAATACATTAAATCAACTCAACAGAAAAAAACAGAGGAATATTAAAGCTGTTGCAGATGCCAAACTTCTGTCTGGAAGGCACACTGGCAGGCAGCTTATATGGATACGTACCCCAGATTTACAGATTTTGTGCATTAAGTCCAACATCGGACTTGTAGGATTTCTGTGTGGAAAAAAAAATACCTGGATGCACCGATGTCCTAATGTAGATGGCTATGCACACCACCACTTTCCTTTTTCCAACATACAAGTGCACGTGCAGCTGTTTGCTTTCAATTCATTATCTATCATCAATGAGCATTTACTTGGCCTTGTTCCAAAAAGGCTATTCTATACATTACAGTTACAAAAGAAAGAACATCCACATAGCAGCAACTCCAAGTTTGACAGATAAATCATACAAAAAGTAGTCATATCTAGCCAGACAGAAACCCCATGCACTGAGACCCATTCTGTAACACACAGGGCTCTCTGCAACAGGCTTATAATCAAGATGTAATCACATCCTCAATACAAAACGAAGAAAAATCTTCTCACCTCATTCAGATCCATGGCAAAACCCACACCAATTTCATGGAAAGCTAAACTGGGCTCAGAGCATGCAGTGATTTAGCACTGTAAGGCCCTAATGCACTACGCTCTGCTTGCTGCTCCCTCTGGACCCAATTCAGCCAGAATCATACCTATGCACTCACTTGGGATGAAGTTATAATTCCCAGCAACTGGCCTTTAAGCTATTCTTGCCCTGCCCCGATGAAAAACAACCTGAAACTTGAGAAATTTTTTTCAGCCTTCCAAATTCCCCTATGTGGTTCACAGCATGGCCTTGTGAACAGTTACTGCAGCACCTCTGAGGCAACAGAATTAAGGGAACAAGCAACCAGGCAGGAACAAGCTAGCATTTGGCTAGAATGGTATTTTGCCAAACTGACACCTTTCTCCTGTGTCCTTTTATCAGTAGCAGAAATTACGATGGGTTTGGTTTTTTGCTTTGTCCAATCAGAATTTCAACGCAGATGTTACAAGTCATTTTTATCAGGGGTAAAAAATTAATTTCACTGTGAATTAGAAAGGAACCTGGATGCAAATGATAAATGTGGCACATTAAATAGTGCATTAGTTACAGTTAACTCAGTGACAGTGATTTCTGTGTGAAAGCTATAGGCTTTCTCGTTTTAAAGCAAATAATTAGCTTTAGTTTTTCTGCCTTTCTTGCCTGAAAAAACAGTTCATACTACAAACAACAATCCTCTGTTCACAAAACAGAAACAATTGTAGCAACAGAAGCAGAGGAGAATCCCACCACAACCAGTACGTAAATAAGTGCCCCGATAAAATAGGTTCCACTCATTCACGTCAATAGTTGAGGGTTTTAAAATTCTAACTACATATTAAGCCTCTTCTAGTGCTACAAATATTATGACAAACCAGGTCTAGGTATCATGTGTGACACTACCAATGTTTAACTTGACATTCTAAGTAGATGGAAGAAAGCTCTGTATCTCAGCTTGGCATTCTAGGCCCTTCTCTATTACTCTTCCTTCTGAAACAAAACTATCTTATTTTCCCTGAGCTCACCATGGCTTTCAGCTATCTGATTTTGCAATCCTGTCTGTCCTGCCCTCCTCTCCTACCCAACGCAAGTAACTGCTTTACAAACAAAAATGGACCTGAAGTGAGGTTTATTTAATAAGCATTCAGACAGACTCACTTCCAGAAGCTTTCTGCAATCTGGTGGCTGTTATTCAGGATCTGAGTCCTGCAGTCCAGCCATGACCACAGTGGCTGTAACAGGCAAAGGAAAAGTAAATTCATCCCAGCCCTTACCTGACCACGGTTGTGAAGACTTAAATCCAGTCCACATGTAAATTCAGTATGATGCTCAACTGTTTCCAGCAAAGGGTTAGGCTTGGAAAAGTCCCAGAATCTATAGAGGGAAGGAGGGAGGAAGAGAGGGGAAAAAAAAAATTAAACAAACTACAATTAAAGTAATTGAAAGGCCATTTCAAAAATATAATGCAAGATATTGACAAATCTGTTGCTGCCAGGGTATTTAAAAAAGCAAACTCATCCACTTAGGAAACACAACAAATCATATTCCTGCAAAGCCATCTGCTGATTTGCATAAATTAAACCCCACTGGGCAAAACCATCTTTGTCTCCTGATGCAGAAATGGAGATCAAAGTTGGCACCAAAGAGCAGCCGTTGGGACATTATTAAAACAGAACAAAACGTAGGCTAGAATACTCTTGTTGTATTTCTTGATGGCTGGGGAATTTTATCCCTGAAAGACATTAGCACAATTTATGATTTTTCTCAGTTTTTGGTATTGTTCACTATGGAGTCTTTATTTACTGAAAATTACACATTCATTCAGAGATATTGGTCATTCCCAGTCTCAAATTTGAGATTGTGTTCCTGTAAAACAGAATTTAATATTATAATTTAATAATAAATTTGTACTACAAAGATCAGTTGCATTACACAGTTAATTCCACTAATTCATCTTTCAAAAAGCAATTTTTCTTTCCAGCTTTGCTTGATAGAAATGCTTAGAAAATAGATTTCTGAAGTGCTCTACTTCTCCCAGCTACTGCCCCGTTAGATGCAATGTCCATCAATGCAGTTAACAGCACGGGTAAGAGAGGTATAAGAGAAAGTACAGGTACAAGAAATCTCAGTCGCGAAAAATGGATTCAGGAATAGAACTTTCAGATAACACCACACTGACGAGACACCATATGATGGCACAAAATAAAGATTTGTTTTTCTTTTTTGTGTTGTATATACTGCTTAGAAAAGTCCATAGGCTGCAAAGCACAGCACATTTTGCGGGCTGGCAGCTGTAATCAAATTTTCTACAGGTCGAATTTTCTCACAGTGGACAATCATATGCTTTACTTCTTCTGTAACAACCACAGAGGTGTCTCTGCCTTGCTCCTATTGGGGAAAGTGACAATACTTAATAAGAACAGTTCATTATCAGATCAACTACACTGAAAGCGCTGTATGTTCAAACCAATTCAGGTAAAATAGCAAACACTGGAACCAGCAGGGTCAGTTTGTTTAACGTGTAGATGTTATTTCCTTCATAAACAAGCAGAGTGGTAATAGCACAATGGCTATGCCATAGCAACAACCCTCTTAACTTTTTCCTAGTACCTGATATCTAAGATAAACAACTTATTTTGCAGGAGAGAGGAGCAAAAGAGCATCTCAGCATTTTCATCCTCCCACATTTGTTCATAAGAAGGTAAGGAAACAAATCTTGTTGTTTCTAATAGTGGTAGCCTTCCTTACCACATCAGCTCTCTACTAACCCTTGAAAGACAGATGCTCTAAGATTAAAGGAGACAACTTCAGATCTACATGAACAAAAACTTAGAAAAGACTTTCTGATCAATTTTAAAAATAGTAGGACAATTTGGTGTTTGTTGTATGGAGTCATGTTTGCAAAAAGTCAGAAGCAGTATAGAGTTTAAGAGTACTGCAACTTAGTTCAAGTTCCACAGACTGTCTGGGACCTTTGTTTTTTTGATATAAAAATAATTACTAGTGAAAATCCAAAAAAATGTACAGTCTCAGGACTGAGAACCATTGATGACAAGTTAATGATGGCTCTCATAACAACTTTGGAGTCCAAAAGTGAAAAACACTATCTATAGTGTTATAGCCCAGCTTCCAAAACTAGCATGGTGACAACAATATTTTGCTCAGAGTGAACTTCCATTGCGTTCTGAAGACTTAAAGCACAATGCAGGTTTTCTAAGACAAACACTGTAGGTAAACACTACCCCAGCAGGATAGCTGTACAGCAAAATGAAGATGCATTCACAGCACAAATAGGTGTGCTTGCATTACTTTAATGGTAGGTGTATCTACGCAGTTGGCAGCATGAGCTTCAACAGTGGGCCAGACAACCACATAGGCTTTTAGGGTCCATTACAGGTTTGTACAACCTATACAATCAGAGGTGTGCCACTTAGATGGAACTGCCATTTTTACCCATATTATGTACATCAAAACTAGCACTCACAACTGCAGTCACATCTGCACTGACTGTAGACACCCTACAACCTATATGAGTGCATTTTCTTCAACTGTTTTTCACTGGAACTGTTGAAAGTATACCTTTTCCCTCATTTCTTGATAGTTTATTTGTTTTACATGTACTTCACATGCAATTCATAAGCTGCACATACATTGCAAGGGAACTGCTTATTCTAAACAAGCCATTATGTGAAGAGAAAAAGCCTGTCATCCTATGGATTTTGTACTTTGTACCACCCATAGCAGTATCAGAGATCTATCTTGCTACATACATCTCCTGTGCTCCCCTACCAAAACACTTTTACTAACCCCCAATATAGTTTCTCCTACCTATCTCCTACCATGTCCTCCTCCCCACTCTACCCTTATCTCCTGCCCCTGCACCTTCACCACTGGCTGGGAAAAAAAGGCAGCAAGTATCATTCCAGGTTCCACTGTCTGTACAAGGTAGTACAACGCATGTGTTGTGGCAGCCTGTCGCTGCACGCTGAGGAGCTAGCAGATCAGCAAGCAGATTAGACAGGTGGTGAATTCATGCTACATCTTTTGCCTTCCTTAAGGTAATACTTTGGATTTCCCACTCTTGTATGCTCATGAGTTTCCATTAAATTTGTACAAGCTTAGTAAATTTAAACTACAACTTTCCTGTCAAATCTAATTAAGTTTTCAATAGGTTCAAAACGAAATGATTCAGGGAAAATGCACAGATGGAAGCACAAAGAACACAACTCCTCAAGTCCATTTCCTTCTGGGAAACAAATATTTATGATAAATATTTATGCATGAAAGCTTTACTACTGCTCTTAGGTTTCAAATAGAAGATGTCTTCATACATGGTATTTTTAGGTGGGTGTGAATCAGCTATTTAGAGGCTGCTTTCCATAAAAGCCCACTCAACAATTAATACCACCATGCACATGCAACCGTATCAGGCAGAAGACACAGTAGCATATGGACGTATATAACCAAGACGTTTTCAAGAGCAACCCAGAACTCATTGTTAGTTTACTACATCTGTATCACAGAATTCGTTCTCCTGCTCCCACTCTCTAATCCCTGTGCAAAGATAGCTACCTGTAAAAGTTCTTCCTGCAAACTAGACAAACTTCTGTCTTAGCAGAACTTAGTGTCAAGCTACTTTTGGATACAGGCCAATCAGGGCAATGTTGTTACTTCAGGCATTAACTGGGGACATCTAACTATTTCCACAATAATATCCTTAAGAGATTATTTCATTACATTTCCAGTAAAGCATCAACATTATGAAGCATCTCAGGTATAGAAGAAAGCCTTTATTCAAAGTATTATCTTCCATAAGCATCAAAGAAAAGAGGAAGAATTGCTTGAGAGCCAAATCAAATGGAAGAGGATCCAAAAAAGTAATTCTGAAATAGGTTTTACTTTTGAGTTTGCTCCAGTAGCACAGTTCTTCCCTAAGGACTCGACTTACATGCTTTATTTCGAAGTAATTCTTGCTGAAATGTTAATTTCTTAGTTTACTTCCTATATACCGTGGGAAAACAAAGTACACCACTTACATATTTATGACCCTACTCTAATAGAGCTGCATATGCACCACTGTTTTTTCTCATTACACGTGAGTTGATGTCCTGACAATGAAATCCCATACATTTTTCTATAACATAAAATGGCAGATTGCAAGTTATGTTTGTTTCAATTCTTCTGCCACAATATAACAGAATAACTTTTAAGAACTAGTTACTAGCCTTCATAATATCCCTTCTGCTTTTGAAGATCTTCAAATTTGCAAAACTTACCAGTAACTTTAATACTTTCCTCCAAACAATGATTTGAGAATAACTCTCATCATCATCATGTGCTTAAAGCCAACCTGAGAATGTATTTGTATCATCATTCTATTGAGGTATCAATCAAAGATCCTAAACCAGAAACAGAGTGCCCCGGAAAACAGGGCATGCTTACAAAATGAAGATACTTCTTGTCACTAAAAAGTTCGATCTGATTTAAGAAATGCAAGTGAGAAACCCCATTTAGGCAAGTACATGCCTTCTCTAGTACTTTTAGCTTAAACCAATACAAGTTGCAGACCAAGATGCAGCATCACGTGCTATTCTAACCTTGAAGGATGAAGCCATGAGCCTATATGGGCTGCTTGGCGTACAAGAGTAGCAACTTCATTGCTGCTGATACTCAGTAATTTAAGTGTAGTTATGAGAGTGAAGTTATCCAACCTACTCTTTGTTCCCCGATTTCTCCCCAAAACACGAATTAACTAAAAGGGCATGCAAACCCCCAACTTAAGAACATTTATGGTCTCATCAGAGCTTCAAGATATTCCCCATCCTTTAGTATCATAATTCTAGACTGGAGCTTCAGTCACTTTGACACATGCCCCACTCTTCATCAAGCGCTGGGAAAGGTCAGTTGGCTAAAAATGGCTAAGTCAGATGCCAGAGAAATACAGAAGTGGTTGTCACTGACATACAGATAATACTGTAGGTATGTGTGGTCTCTCTCAATACTTCTGCTTCCTCATCTGTCCACAAAAAACTCCTAACTTTGCCTTACAGACAGACAGGATACATTTTGTAGAGAAAGATTTAAATGTATTTTTATGACAAACAGAAATAATAGATAGCTTCACAACCAAAAAGTAAAAAGGGGTTATTCAGAAAAAGAGAGATGCACTTTCCATATAATTTTCCATATATATTTCCAAAAAAATATTCAGATGCTGCCATAGTTAAATATTCATGTATAAATACTTGAAGGTTTTAATTACAAATATTTAACACTTATACAGACCTGTTTATTAAGAGAAATGAAAAAAAACCCAAACATCCCTTTGCTGTATTCTTCAACAACATTATAGTGCTATTCATTGTACCAGAAAA